AGTCAGGCAGAGGGTCTTTGTTGATTTTTGAAAGGCAAACCACACGTTGGCTCGACCGCGGGGCGAGAAGACGACGTGATCTGTCGAGTTTGGACACTCGAAGAGGAAGGCGAAGCCCGCCATGCGGGATGACCTCAGTTATTCCTAACTAACTCACCATTGTTGCAACCGCAAAAACAGTGAGACCCTAACATGTTAATCTTCAACCAATGAGTTGTCACAATAATCAAAATAAGCCGAGAGAGAGTCGGCCCTAACTCAAGGATGTCATTTTCCCTTGCTCAAAACTTTGCAAGCATCTAAAATATTTGCTCATAATCAATGCCACTAAAGTTTCAGATATTTTTCCCTATTTATTTTAATTTTATTGTTCATCATGGCCGTGCAACAAACGTGAATGCAGTCACTACTTTTCCATGTTATAGGTTCATGACTTCCTATATAGCATGTGGTGGCTAGATGATACCATGTTATATTATGTGTAGTTTTACTTAGTTGTGAACTAATGGTTAGATTATGTGTAGTTTTACTTAGTTGTGAACTAATGGTCAGATTATGTGTAGTTTTACTTAGTTGTGAACTAACCGTCAGGCTGTGCATGCTTTACCTTCACTCTTAGACATCATCATGTCACTTGCACCCTTATTTTGGACACAATGTAATAGCAGCTGCTCACATACATGCACATACAATTATCCCTAGGAATGCACGAGCACATCGGAGATACCGAGTCGGCACAACATCTTGAGATTGACACTGCATCACAAGAGGTGTCGTAGTCGAAGGGGACATCTTCTACCACTAAAAAACATCATCCTAAAGCCTGAAAAAATTTGAAAAAAATGCGAGCACTTGCGCTAAGTCTAGGACTTGAATCATGGTGGACTGGTTCAACTACAAGGAACCTAACCGTCTAAACTACACTCAGTTCGCACTTGCACATGCACCTTAGAACCATAAGTCAGATGATGATCTATAAAGCAGTTCTTCTTGATTAGCACTGCTACATGATGACATGGTATACATGTTTTTTAACACAGTACAGACGCAGACGCTCATACATACACACATATATTTACGCCTATGAATGCACGCATGAACATCCTACCCCTATGGCATCCCCGGGAGACTAAGCCGACACATCATCTTGAGATTGACGAATTCATCACAAACACCTTCATTGTCGATGTGAACGTCTCCTCCCACTGAACGCACATCACCGAAGGCCTGAAATAAATTCAGGAAAATGCAAGTACCAATGTCATGTCTAGGACTTGAACTCTGGTGGGTTGAGGATACCACTGCCATCATAACCGTTCAATGGTTTGTGATATGGTAGACATGTTGAATGCTCTTTGTTAAGTGAATCCATTTTTTTTGTTCCTTACAAGTGCTCAATTGGTTGACGGTAAAACTATGCGGCATATTTCACCATTAAGGAGAGGGAGAATCATATAATAATCTCGGATATAAAATGATCTATATTTTTATTTACAAATATTCCAAATTAACCTAGTCTTGATTGCTTGGAGGTGCTCACCACATACACCCTGTGGTCCAAATTAACCTAGTCTAATATTCTTATATGAACTCAACACGTTAAAATGTTTCAACTCGTGAAAATTCATTCAAACTCCATTTATTGGAATTTTATGTCAATGTCATCTGATTTGACTAGACTATTGCAAATCATGGTCTCTGATCATCCTTTAGCATGTATGTTTTAAATGTCGACCTTAGCGACCTCTTTGTATTAATAACAAGATGATGTCCCGCGCAATGCTGCGGGAACCTTGTAAAAATATGTATGGATAAGTGGTAGAAGACTAAAATTAATACAAAAACAAATATAAAAGTGTCTTACATGAGTTATAATCCCGCGAAAAAAGTCATGCGTGAGGTGTATGCTTTACATGAAGAGACAAATGGAAAAAGTAATTTAGGACTACATGCATGATTTGATGATGTGGCGCTGTTGCATGGAGAGGAAAACTAGATAGTGGGTCGTTGCTATTTAAGAAGGACGAGACTTGTCTGCTCCCTCCGCGTGTGCCCATCCGTGCTCCCGTGTACGTGGCTTGATTTGATTGGAACAAAATAAGGCCCGGCCCCACGCCCTTAAAATCAGGGGGGAGATGATTATATTAGAAAGAGAAAAGGAAAAAAGACAGCCGTAGGATGAAGTGGGAGCACAGATGGAAGCATGGGGAGGGAGCAGGCAAGCTGGATCCATTTAAGAATAGAGGGTATATCTGCATTCCAAATTTTGGTTACTACAAATATATCATTAAATACTACTAGTATAAATAAATATTTGATATACAATTATAACGCATCTAAAAAATATTCACTATATCTTGAAGACGGAAAATAAATGCATCCTCATCCATTTGCATTAACAGGATTTGATAGTCTACAAATTAATGTTGCACATAGGATTCGTCTCATATAAAGGAATATTATAATTACCACTTATTTGAGTATACATTAAGAATTGCCTTATTAGGAACAATATTCATAAAATACCACTAGCTGACTAAGCCTATATGTAATCTTGTACTAGTATTTTACCGAACGCAAGCCATCAATTGAGGAATCAACCACTGTTCCATTTTGTTGTTCTTGTGATCTGCGGTAGCGAGAACAAGTCGAGGGAAACACCATTCATGGCACGAGGAACCATGGTACCCACCCTTCTGGTGCTGCTTCTGGCTATTTTCTGCGCGATCACCGTCGTCCACAGCAAGGAATGGAACGTCGGTCGCCAGGACGGATGGTTCTTCAGCATCTCCAATTGGGGGGACGACAAGCCAATCAAGGTCGGCGATGTGCTTGGTGAGAACTCTAAATCAAGTGATTAGCTATTTTTCAATTCTGATATGTAATCTTGTGTTTATAACTAATGCATGCAGTGTTCAAGTACAAGGCAATTGCGCACAACGTGGTGCAGGTCTCAGAAGAAGACTACAACGCATGCACGGTCTCTCGCCCGTCGCCGGCCTACCGCTCCGGCAATGACCACATTAAGGTCACCAGCAGTGGCAGATTCTTCTTCATATGTTATGTGAAAACTCCTTTACACTGTGAGAGTGGCATGAAGATAGCCATCACTGTCCAATAGATAGACATAATCCCTCTTATGATACGTACATATGCGTGTCTTTGTAGCAAGTCTTTAAGGTGCGATCTCATGACAGAATGATGGCAGAAGAAATAAATCGATGCTTGGCTCAAGTCTGATTCAACATGTTTCTTTCAAGACTGATTCATTATGTATTCATGACACCTTGCTACAGCAACATCTATTGTTTAGTTTTGAGGGGACCAATATCTGTTCGGAAGAGCCAGTGGAAGCATATCACCAGTGGAAGTATACGACTAGTTGGTTTTCACTTTATGTGAAAACGTCGATGAATTTAAGTAATTTCAGTGGACACTGAAGTATTTACCTTTTGAACAATATTTTAGCAATTTCAGTAATACACAGCAATTCAGATGATTTTAAAGTACTTTTCAAAGTTTTCAAATATTATGTTGAATTTCAGGTGAATGTTTCGGCCCTCTGGGCAAAATGCAAACTAAAAACACCAAAACTCACTGTGTTTCTGGGATTTCGGTTGTGGATGTAATATTTCTAAAAATGGAAGTAAAAAAACACTAGATTCAAGTTTCTTTCATTCTACTGACAATACCTTGTGTTAGAATAATCCGAAGCCACCGTCGATCCGTCAAGGACAAGCAGTCACACAGGCACTAGCAATGACACCGAGATTTGTTAACGAGGTTCACCAACATGGCTACATCCCCGGGACATGACTACAGGCACACCTCCCCATGTATCAAATCATATGATACAATCTGCAATAAGACTCCAAGGACACGAGAGAGCGCTCCGACCGCCGCGCCACGGCCGGTCCGGTCATCCCTGCCACGGGCGCCGGATTGTCCCTCTCGTGATCTTTGTCTTAGCCTATAACTATTGTCTAGTCTATTTGGCTACCCGTGATGGCTATATATAATATTAGTCCCGAATTACACATGTCCGACTCAAACACCTAACGTACCGCTAATTACAAATCCAACAGTAGCACAACCTATACAGTGAATACTCCACACATTATTTTAACACCTTTAACATTAAGGACACATGTGAACTAGCTCCTTTACGGTGGTGGCTATTCGAATTGATCTCGGTCAACCAAACGAAGAGAAAGAGCTCCCACGTACTCTATCCCAAATTACATGTTGTAGAAATGGATGTATCTAGAATTAAAAATACCTATAGATACACCCATTTCTACGACAAGTAATTCAGGACAGAGGGAGTATATGCCCTGATAGGGGGCATCAAACACAGTTATGAAACTTGGTCCTGTCTTCCTAGCACCTACTGGTATACAAGGAAAGGATCCCCTTCGAGTGAGTTAACGATTTCACTCTAACAATCAATCCCTTTTTGGACGGGACTCTGACAACCAATCCTAATTAGGTGCGGAGGGAGAGGAAGTCTGAGTACTATCGTCGGCCATCACAAGGACAACGTTGGTGGCATTCTGCAGTGCTACGCACCCTACTGCCACCCCTTCCCTGACAAACATGACAATGTCAGAGGTTCACGGGTACCGCCATTGGCTCACCACGCGTGCATCGATCAGGCACTAGACTGTGCCTTCCAACTGTAACAAGGACAAAATGCTTTCGGCAAGTTTTCATATGGTTATTCTTGCTCAAGATAGGTATTGATGTTAAAGACCTAGAGCATGATTGATTTCACTTGGCCACCAAAAAATGGTAAGTCTTGGAGTTTCCAGTGTTTGGCATGTCAATATGCATGTTGTCTACAAGTATCCAAGGGGAACTAGCAAGAGTATTGCAATGGACACTATTGAGGAGGACGAACCCCCCCTCCATAGACACGTCTCTTGTCGCAAGGGAAATTGTTCCTACGCCGCAAGGCTGCTCCTCCACCTCTAGTTCTCCAGCAAAGCTTAGTTTTGGACAGCGAAGCTCTGCTCGATTGGTGCTTCCATATGCATGAATACCTATAGATGCACCGCACATTCGGTGCTCAATCTACAGATCGATTCAAGGGAAAAATTCCCGTGGTTCGGAGGTATAACCTAGCTACGGTAATCTGCATCAACATGCTTCTCTAATGGTGAATATATTGATATTGATTTGGTATCGTTTACCTTCAAATTTTTCTATATAATATGTTTGGTCAAACTTACAAAGCGTTGACTTTTTGACTCGAGTAATTTTTACGTAAGCTCTAATGACACAGATCAATTCATGAAGTTTGAGTGGAGCAATCGAATATCCAATTTGTTAGTGGCACGAACCGATTTTTCATCCAGAAACCGCACAAGGGAATGTCTATTACCATCATGGGTTGGAAGGCGTTGTTAGAGGGAATAGAGAAGAAGATTGGTGGAATCGATGTTTATTGCTTGAGCCTTGTGAGCATATATATAAAAGTACAATGATCAACTTGGGGTACAATACAAGGTAGGGTAAGATCCTACCCTATCTATATTTCCTAATAATCATAATACTTAACATCCCCCCGCAGTCATAACGGTAGCAGTGCAGACGGTGAGACTGGAGGAGAATCTGAAGGTAAGCCGACGGACACCCCCATAGTCGTAACGGTCGATGCATCCGAAAGTAGTGGCTGGAGAGGAAACCGACAAGTTTGCTCAAGCAAGGCGATTGCCCTTTGTGCCAATATCGAGATAACCGAGAGCGTAAGGTGGTGTAGCCGTGCGAATAACGCCGTGGTCGATATCGAGTCAGGTGGCCGGTATCAAGGTAGTCGCCACGGAGTCAAAATCGGTGCTCATTTTTTTTTTAAAAAAAATCCCCAAACCCTAGAAGAGGAGCGGACTCAAGTACGGGCACGAATCCATGCCGAAACACTCGTCGCTCATCTCTCTATCGTTTGAAGGCACGAATCCATGCCGAAACACTCGTCGCTCACCTCTCCATCGTTTCAAGGCATCATGTACTGAACAATCCGTGCCCTTAAAAGGTGCACACCAAACGGTGAGACGGTGACCTATTGTGCTGCACTGCACGATTAGCAACTAAAACAAATGTACTGAACAATCCTTTTTTTTAGGGATGCACTGGACAATCTTTGATTGGTTTGTTTATAAAGAAGGAAGCAGCGGTGTTTATTATCAAACCAAAAAACGAAAAAAAAACGAGGCTGGTGCGTTCTGGTCCGGTCCCGGACTCCCTCCCTATTTCGGACCAAATCCATCATAGCTCGGCTCCATATATGTCTACCGAGGGGTGCTTGTACCGCTGCACGTGTAGAGACTCTCGCAGCATCCGCTACCTGTTCGCGAGCGATGAACCAATCGGGGAAGTCCATGTCGCCGACGACGTCAATCCCGCCGTGGTCTGAACTTCCCCAGGAGCTCCTAGGCCTCATCATCGACTGCCTCCCTGGCTCCTCCGGCGACCGCGGTCTGCTGTCCGCGGCGTGGTCTAAGGTTCGGCGGCTTCTTCTCTCCATGGCCCCTCCCCACGCCCACTTCCGGGAAGCGTGTCGTCCTTCTCGGAACTCGGCCTCGGCCGACTGCGCTCGGTTCCGGGCGGTGTGCCGTTCATGGAGAACGGCGCTACGCGAGCACATGCGGTTCCGGCGCCTCGGCAGGTGCCCTGGATCGTACTGTCGGACGGCTACTTGCTGACGCCCGACGGCACCGATCTCTTGTATCGGCTGCCCTCTTTGCCCGAGGATGCGACGTGCATCGGCTCCACGGATGAATGGCTCGCCATCGACCGCATCGGCGCTGGGAACCAGCATAGTTACTCCATGCACAATCCTTTCTCCGGCACGACGGTGCCGCTCCACGAGCTGCAGAATATCATCCGCGAGCGTTCCAAGTTTTTCAAGATCCACAAGGTGCTCATGCGGTCGACCCCTGACGACGTCGTCGCCGTCCTGACCAACAACTGGAACTACCCGCTCATCTTAATCCGGCCGGGAAAAGGGGTGTGGACACCCAAGCCACGAACGCCTCCCTATGTGTACATCATCGACATTGCCTTTCTCGGAGATGAACTTTATGGCATCACCCAGGCCTATGACCTTGTCTCCCTCGATATCGCCTTCTATAGCAATGGAATACCCAGTATTGCTGGCATTGATCGTGTCATCATGCATATAGAGGATTATGATTTTCATTTTCATGTGTGGGATGACGGTGAAGAAGACGGCGAGTATGAGCGCAAGATGGCCACGAATGCTGAGGCGAGTGAAGACGACGATGACAGGCGTGCCGTGTATGAACTAAGGAAGAACACTGGAGATAGCATGATTTTGGAGGCTGCACATTGGTGGGACGATGAGGAGGTGCCCCACGAACCCAAGGATCTCGTCACCGTAAGCTGGCACCTCGTGGAGTCGTGTGGAAAGCTAATCATGGTTTTGCGGCAATTGCAAATACCTGAATACACCATGAAGTTCACTCGCAAGGTGGATGTATTGGAAGCGAAGGTCAGTGCAGACGGGTGGTTGCCAGTTACTAATGGGCTCGATGGCCAGGCACTTTTTATCAGCAGGCGCTTTTGCAAATCTGTTCCTGCTCATGGGGAGATAGAAGCGGATGTTATCTATTTTGTCGACACGGGCGATATGTTCAACATGAGATCTCAAACCATGGGTCCACCAACGAGGTACATTGATCATCATTCCTCGACTTGGATATTTTTCTCAGAGCTGGTGGTTTAAGAATTATTTACATCACAATATAACATTTTTTTAGGAAAGGCCATCATGGCTAGCTTTATTGAATTAAACAGGGATTACATCGTTCAGCAGTTTTGAGACTAACAAGCCAGAAGGCTCGTTCGTCCAACTACTAGTAATCTTATTACAATAAGAATAGTTAGCTAGCACATGTACCGCTTCGTTACATTCACGATAACAATGTTTAAAGACGACCTTCCCAATAGAAGAGGAAATATCCACACATTCCGTGAATATTGCCGAATTTGCATCCCACCATGTTATGTGTCCCACACACGCATCAACGACAATCGTAGAGTCCGATTCCGCTTCCACCCGCGGCATACCTAAGGAATTAGCAAGCGCCAGTCCATCTTGCA